CGTTGTGTAAGCGCCGACCATAAATAATACACTCACGTGTCAGCCTTTGCGTGTTCCGGAACGCTACAAAAAATTTTGTTAGTAGAAAAACGTTTCCCGTTATTTATTATTATTTTTTATTTTCCAAAATACATTTTTGAAATTTTTACATTTCAGTCCGATTTATTGTTAAAAAGGCAATAACGCTATTATTGTTACAGCAGAGCACAACAATATGGAGGTTTTTTTTTTACAAATAATAATTTGTGTACCGTTAATTGAAATATTCCAAACGATGGAATATAATAGTGTACGCATTATTCTCTCCACTTCCCTGATTTATTTAGGTATTCGTTGGCCCTCGTTGAAAAAAAAAATAATATTTATCAGTCCCTGGAAATATTTTTTGTATACAATACTAGCTATTCGTTGTGTTTTAGATTTATTATGATTATTAAAGGGATCTGAATAATGGACTCGACTGTTTCATAATATAATGGCAATTTTTAAGAAAATAGTTGTGCATAGTCCTATTTTTTTTTCTGTATATGATAAGTACAGGGTGATTAATTAAGGTTATCTTTTAATAACAATTTTGCAATTTAACACTTAAGTTAATGTTAATTTAAAATATTCAAATTTGTATCTTTTATAAAATTTTGCCATAGTTCTATAAACTTTTATTAAACTTAAACCGTAACGTGTATTTATTTTTAAATTTAGAATAAATTGCTGAAACCGTAGATTAGTCAACAACCAGTTTTGATCTTTAAAGTTATTAAATTTGAAAATGTATAAATGGGTGGAAAGGGTAAAGAGTAGTATAATTTTTATCTGAGCATATGACTTTAAATAAATTCCACCTTCCGTCCTAAACTTTAAACTTTAATAAAATTAAAAAAAAACAATTATCCAAAATTGGTGTTGGGCAGTCAATGTTTTCAGCAAGTTATTTTAATTTAAGTAAATTTAATTATAGTTACATGCGTTACCGTTTAAGTTTCAAAAGTTGATAGAGCTCTGGAAAATACTGAAAAAGGTAAATATACTTGGAATTTTTATAGTATAGACTAAAATAAAAACTACAAAATTGCAACTGTTTTAAAAGAAAATTAGTGTCTTATGTGTGATACTATGTATGTCATAATCATTAATCTACAATATGTTTGGGACGGTCAGGCTAGTTTAAGGCGCTTCATATAGATTTTACCAATTTTTGTTGTGTGTATTTGTGCGTCTAAAATACCTCGGTTCACGGAAAAAGTTTTCAAAGGTAGTGTTCTAACATTACTCTCTATAGGAAGTAGTGTAAACCCTTATAAACGTCTCGGGCATTCAGTCCACGCGGATCTGTCGCTGATTGTTTTTTCTCCTTCGGGTAAAGCACCGAACCCAATCGGCTGATATTAACCTCGGGGTTTTCGCTCTACCGGATTAGAACGCCAATACTGTTTCCAAAAACCGTTACCTCGCTACTCAGCACTTAAGTGAAATTCCTAGTAACTTCGCTTTATACATATAAAAACGAAGCACAGCCGCTGGGAAATCTCGTGTGACGTGAAAATATAACCGAATTTTAAGTTACCTTCTGCACAGCTACCACTTTGCAAGTCTTATAATATTATTAAAGTAAAAAAAAAAAACAGTACAACACTGTATAAACCAGAACAGTAAGCGTCTACTAAAGTGAGGTCCAGTATTCACAGATTCGCATTTCCAAACTTTTTTTTTTCTTCAGTCACAAAAAAAAAAACATATTATAAATCAATATTATATTACCTTATGGGCTATCGCATCGAAGCTAAATATCTGGTCTCTAACCTAACCTGCGAACGCAATATAGATCAAATTATATATCTTTGGACTCGCCCAATTCAAATTGGGTATCCGTTTTAAATTTTACCTCTTACTTGGGGAGTCAAGGGCGATAATCTGAAATTTTATTTTTTAATTGACAATTTGTTTTTTTTGTTGTTTTGGAATACCTACCTACTTATTTTGTGTTTCAATAATTGGCCATAATATACTAAATTTCAATTTTGCAAACCCGTAATATCCTTCATAACCACCGTTTAAATTTTTTGCCACTTTTTAAGTTTTTCCATAGTAAAAAAAAACCACACATTTTCTCTGCTACAAGTAAAAACATTGAACCACGGATACGCGTTTAACTTTGATAAATTTCCCTCCTCTTTCCTTCTCCCCTTCCCACCTTTACCTGTCCCACAATGAAGCGAAAAAAACAAATTTTTTTACGGACTGGTTTCAGTCAAACTGTAGCAATTCCAAGTTGAAGGCTCACAAACCGGTCAATTTTTTTTCGGTTTTGAGCGTGAAAGAATAGACTTTTTCTACTGTTGACCAACCAAATTACCAACCGCGCAGATGGAGATACTACTCGAGATAATCGGTTCACAGGAAAATGATAGGGTCTTCCGTTGTACAGAAAAAAAACATTATAAAACCATTACCTTCTCAGCTACCGCGCCGAAGATGAAAAATTCTAATTCATAATATAGACAGAGGACTAAGACTACCGCCGTAACGCCCCAACCATTGCAACAATGGCTGTCGATTTGTTGGCACAGACGTTTCATAACGTTTTTCTCTTCCTATGTTATACTCCATTCGATTATTATATTTTATTCCTATTACCGTAAACACCTCCTCTTATTTGTCGGATACAATAGGATATAAAACCCGGTAAATTGGCCGACGCAGTACCGTCGTTCGTTAGCGTATCGATTTTCGCTCACCTAATAGGAGACCTACACTCCGTTTGTTATAAATAACGAACCGGATGATAAAGAAAAGTAATAAATAGCAGTCAATGGAATCATACATTTGTCATTTTTCCCCTGGCCGGCGAAGGGCAATATTTGGACTAGGAAAAATATAATATGAATTTCATCCGACGGCGTTCCGAGTATGCAATTGTGGTACGCGAAAAAAGGCCTTTCCCTTTTTATTTTATTGTTATTATGGTTTTTTTTATTCTTTCGTGAAACGCTTCGCTTAAACTATTACAACATAAACGTCCACTTGAAAACTGCGATTTCACGTCATAGGCTCTCGGTCATTTTTTTTTATTGATAAAAAACAACTGATAATGGCTCCTGATAAGAGACAGATTGTAAGAGATCATTGTTAAGATATTAGTGAAAAGCATAGATAACAAATTAATGGATAGGCCATACCTATATTAGCAAAATAAGGGGTCGCGTTCCGGAATTGGGAAGACAGTTATTTTTCCATTGAAGTATCTATGTCTATGACGTTATTGATCCTTGTTGTTATCACTTTATTCTCAGGTGATAAGCTTGATGGCCTATCCATTCTTTTATTATCTATGGTGAAAGAGACACCTGATTAGAGAATAATGATAAGGGACATCTGATAATTAAAGAGATCAGTTGGGTTTAGTTTGAATGTGGATTAAATAGGTAAGTTATTGTTAGGACGATGGAGAAGACTATTGGATAGATTAGGGAGGGGATGAATAAAGGGGATGCGAGGACTGTGAGATATGTCAGGAGGGAAGGGCAAAACATTTATATGATTCTATGTTTTACCGTAGAGCGGAGAAATTAATGTGTTGTTTTTTTTAACAACTGAATTATATCGTATCTCTGTGGTTAGACTTTTATGTTACATTATATGTTGAAACAATAGAATTAGTTAAGTTACGAACATTATATTGCCGGGTGAACCTTCAACATATTATATTAAACTAAAATCATAAGACTACATATGTTCACACTTTTTGTCGGTCGTCCAGAAAATATTACTGTTTGGCACTCTAATAAACGTTAGTCCGGTTGTTTTAACTTCCGCAACAGCAGGTGCTGGTGTGAAAATGAAAATATATTATTACATCTAGAAGTTTACCGTCGAAAATCCCATCCAGAACGTGCTTTTGTGTGTTATTCACGATCGTACCCAGGCTAAACCTTTGATGGAGAAATAGAATCAAGCGTTAATGACGGTTGTGGGCCGGCCAGTGGCTCGTGTACTTATGACTGTTGTGCTTAATGTCTCGAAAACTTTTAAGTTTTAACGTTAGCCAAACCTCTAAACTCATCTCGGATAATAGAACAATAATAGTACTGTACCTATCATTGTGCCAATAATATTGTTTTATAATTTGATATAAAAAACATATGTTATAAGTGCATAGCAATAAAAAATAACAATTAAAAAGAATTTGCCGAATATTTTATTTTGGATTTACATTTTGAAGTTACTTAAGTAAGTTTAAAATTTAGGACCACTTATTAGTACTACGCTCCATCCGTCTTAAAGTTAAATCAATTTAAAAGTAATTTTTAACAAATCATTTTCAAATGAAAAAGCTATCCACGATCGATAAAAAGTGTTGGATAATTACTTATAAAGTTATTTGTGTTTCAAATTTAGGACAGGAGGAAAAGTGGAGTGTAGTATGGGAATGTTTAAATTAAAATTACATATAATTAATGTATATTATATTAATAGGTCGATTTCTCGAATTGTAAATGAATTACTTAAACGTATCAAGATAATATAGAAAAAAATTGCTGTATACAAATTAAAAATTATTACACCATGGCATACCCCTATGAAGTATAATATACATTTCCTGTATTTTCCTTAACAGGCTTAAATAATGAATAACTAAGTCATTAACACCAAAATGTCTACTGTCGGCACGCGAATCGTGTTTGCATGGAATAACTATATTATGAAAGAAACATGATTCGCAAAAAAAGTACATTATAAAATATGATTTGATTTTAATCATATTTTTTTTCATTCGAAGGAGTAGTAATATGAGAATCGGCCCTCTAGCAAATAGCAATTAGCAAACATGTTTATCATACAAATAGTTGTTTTAATTAATTAGTTGTTATTGTGTATGGTAATTCAAGAATAGGGCTAGTGTTCTAAAAAAATAGGCCTAATGGCGGATGGACAAATATTTTATTTAAAAACACCCCATATGGTTCATGTATACTTAAATTTTGTTTTTAATTATTTTTCAGCCTTATTGGATGAAGAGCCGAGAGTTTTGGGACGACGGCTTTGAACAGCGATACAAACAAGTGCTCAAAGATACCGCCAATGGTTCGAATTTCCCACTTAAAGTAAGTTTAGACGGACAAATAAAGTTCTAAAGCGCTTGATCTAAACAGTTGCAAAGATAGGCGACATAATTTGTTGTGGATAATCACTCTACCACATTCCACGTCCCGTACTAAATTTTAAACTTAAGTGACTTTTAAAGTACCTAATTATCCAAAATTGGTTATCGACCGATCAAAATTTTCAGCGAATTGTAAATATATGTAATAAATGCATTAGGCCAATGTGGATAGAACATGTTGCAAAGTCAATTTGGTTGGTCGCCACCAGAGGTCGACTGAAGTGACCCACAAAATTGGTTATTTACTGCGGTCACCCGTCTGTTATTTAGCTAATAAAAACGCATGTCCGGCTTCCTTGCCACCGCCGCGAGGGACAGTCCGAAGGGTCACAACAAATTGCTGTACACGCAAACCGTGTGTAACGCTTTAAGTCAATTTTGGCGATATTTTCCGCTGTACTTTATTTATCTTTTCGCCTATGCCGTATATGAAATTTACGCCTCGCTTCGTCACGTTTCGCCGCCCCCGGACTTAATGGGATTTGCCAGAAGTTGACGCAAGAAGGTATTATACACACACGCCCGGCGGAAAACGTTGTTATATTATTATACCCGCAACGGCGTTTAAACGATAAAGTGGTTAGAAAATGTTGGTGTAATAATTTTAAAAAGCTAGCACACATAGGGCGAAGGCATAATTATGAAGCGTAGCCTAGTGAAACAGCAGGTGTAGTCACATGACCGTAGAAATCGTTAGAACTGAGAGTGACGAAATCACTCTCATTGTCACGAGCAATTTAATTTGACCAAAAGTGGTCACTTCTTTCTTCAAAAGTCAAAATTCAAGAAAAGTCTTCGTGGAAACGTCTTGTTCTTTACTTGCCCAATAAACCCATAAGCCAAATTTCAGGAGAGCGAGAGTTTTTTACTGATATTAACTTGTTACTTTTGAAAACGATAAAATTTCGTCGTTATTAGTTTTATAAGAGCAGTCGTGTTCTTTGCTACGACCCGGTCTCACAGCGAAGACAGAATATTGTAGATTTTAATCTTATATAAAATGCACATTGAATTTAAAAGCTTTTATAGAAGTTAGCGAATCAAATTTACTAGCGCTTCGCGTATCTTAATGGAGTCGGTTAAAATACTTTTAAATCACATCTCTAACTCTTATATCATTTCTTTTTCAAAAAAAAAAAAAACAATTCTTTTAACAACACACCGCGAACCGCCTCTCCACCTTTTGTTGGTGATTTCTGTTATAACAGAAGAAAACTGTAGTTTTTCATGAGTATAAAAATGAACACAAAAAGACTCACGGTGTACTTATGGAGTTAAATAAGTTTCTTACGATGCACAAGCATTGGTATAACAGCGTACAAAAACGTTTTTAAAGGTAAAAAAATGTTATTTCTTTTAGAATTTCATTTATTGTTTGAAGAAAAATCAAACGGTTTTGGACAAAAGAAATGAATTGAATTCTCAACGTTCGTTCTAGATTGTGTGAAGGCGGCGATTGACTTACTGTATCAAAGCTAATTTCAATCACAATGTACGCGGTTTATTGTCTGAATTAAAATCATTAATATAAGTAATTATAAAAAAATATATTCTTCTCAGTACCGCATTGAAGGTGAAAATGCAATGAATTCTATTTATATTTACAACAGTAGAAGCGAGTGGCTAATCCAACATGATTTTTTATCTATTTTCATCTATTCAAGCCTTCCTGTCATAAGTGTATATTTAAATTAAAACTGCACGACAACTCTGTTGTTGTTTGGAACTTAACGCGTTGCCTTAAACTGCGCGAACACTTGATAATATATTACAACCGTATGGGTTTCGTTAATAAGCACACGTCGCCATTTTGTAGCCCCTCATAATTCTGCTGTAAACAATAAACGTAAAGCTTATCGATTTAAGCACGTCAGGGTGTGTGTGCTTCCATACAATAACGATAATTATAATAATAATATATGACTGAGTTCTTGGTTATAATTTATAATGACTGAGACAATACACCACCAGAGGCTCCTAGTCGATACCGAAAAGAGCAGATGAGATCGGGGTTGGTGTACATTCGAGCGTCTGACCAAATATTTGTCTCTTGAACTTAATAATGCAGAACTGTTTGAAAAACAAACATGACGTTCGCTATTTTATATACTACTTGAGGCTAACTTGAAGTTAAACTTTTAAGACGAGTCATATTTCTACTGCGCATTGCAATATTAATATATCCACAGTCTGATAGTTCAGCACGTTGTCTTCTTCATAAGGTGTTTGCGATTCCAATAAGGGTTTTGATTTTTTTACTTGAAATTAAATCCTGGTATTCATAATCGATACCGAAAACACTCAATCTCAGGAGAAATCGTCGTGGATTTTTCTATTTGTATGTATAAAAAAAAACCCTCAACTCATACCCACAGAACAATGAACCTGCTAGTTTTCGTCGGGGCTTAAGGTATTTGGTGGAAACTTTTCGTGACCGGTAAAATCCGGTAACTTAGTACGCAGCATCCTGTGTTGCTATAAGTAAAGCACATAAAAGTTTGTTAATACACTAAGCGTTATACGTATTCAGTAAGTGATGTTTATCGGTTGAAAATTCAGAAATAAGTAAAAATCTATAATATTATCAACATTGTTTTACACATGGATCGCATAGCAAAAATCTGGTAGGTTCGATTCACTTAAGTTATTAGAGTTTCTATACAAAAACTAGCTCTTGTTAAACACTGAACAAGTATTTCCTCCATATCGTATTGCTGGTAAACGATTTTCTATTCAAATTCCTCTCTCATTATATAGTGATTACACTAATTAATTGCAAACAATCAATGTATTAAATTAGCGCCGTCGAGCTTGTATAAGTTCAATAAGCTTGAAGCATACTAATTTGTTTGTCTTTATATAAAGTTTGTAATACTGAATTTTATAGATCGACAAAGAGTTGAGATGTCGAGGAATTTTTTTTTTACTCTCAAGTGTTTAGGTTAAGTGGCATTTAATTTCGACACGCGCTACTTTGTAAAAATATCAGTTTATTCAAATAGTTTAGCATTTGTTGTTTATTCGTTTAGCATTGCCGCATTGTAGAGTACGGCTATAAAATATAGATATATTTTAAAAAATTGTTTTATTAAGGAAAAATTATTTAAAAAAGGAGGGGGGGGGGAAATCGTATGAGCAAAATGTGTGAGTAAATCAACAGTCAACAATTATCAGAAAACTATTTTCACCATGCTGTTTAAAGTAACTTAATAAATGGCAACTAATTATCATAGACTATGGCTTAACTCTAATCGTATTCACCTTATACTCGTAGTATAATTTTAAGCACAACGTACCTTTTTCATTGCTTTTATCGATTATTTCTGCCATCTCCAGATTTGCATTCGAAAGCGATTTTTTAACACATTCAGTCACAATAATTCCTCAAGACCTGTGATCTCCTTCCCCCCTCCCAATACTGTCCGTCCCCCACTATGCCCCGACTTCACTGTGCAGACTTTTAATTTTATATAATCTACTAAACAATCAATTTTTTAAACAAAATTTTTTAATAATTCGACGGTGGCTTGTCTGGTTTTTGGGATCTTTTTTTTATTTTTGCTCGTTAAATCTAAAGCCATAGCAACGGGCAGACGACACTTACATGTCTAGATGCAATTACAATAATAATATAATGGTAGTGGTGGTGGTGGTGTTGTTCAAATATATACACACCCACGCATACCATGTCGAGGGTCCTACGGGCGGTTCGGCGTGATTAGCGACACCATTACCACATTATCTGGCTCGCGTGCATCGAGGGTACAATTTTGTACATTGTATTGATATAGGTGCATTATATACTGTGTTATTTAAACGCGAATCAGGTAGGTTTTTTTTTCTAATAAGGAAAAACGTTTTTCGCCCTGTTACAGCAAACGCCTGGCACTTTAGCGAGGCACTTTTTTTTTATTTGTAAACCACCCACCTAATTTATGTTTACACATTGATTTCGTTTGGCGCATCTGTCATACCATCATCCGGATCGAGGACTTGAAGCAATCTTACAAAGCGACCATATCCATACGGGTCGGATACTTGGTCGTGGGATTCCCAGATCCCATTTGTGTACGGGTCATTTCACTGAAAGTGGTACGTTTGTGTCTCCAGGATATTGTTAGGTATTGTTATTGGCGTCCGTCTCAAAAATTGTCCATTTAGGGTGCATTTGGGTCAACATTAATGTTTTAATCAGAATCGTTAATGTATTTCAATAACAAAGGTAAAAAAATCAATTGAAAGTCTTTTCTAATAACCAATTGCTTACCCTTTTTAGGCTGCTCCTGACCAAACTTGAAAAGAAACGACCTTGAAATAATGTGTGGAAAGTATGTTAAATTTGTGGCCTCTATTTGATGCCAAGCAATAACAAAGTTTTCGTGAAATTTTAATTTTAATACACACTATATAGCACAGAGGCTCGAATAGCTGAAAATAGATAAAAAAAAATCACGTTTGGAACCGCCATTCGCTTCTATTATTATAAATATGCGTAGAATTCATTGCAATTGCACCTTCGATGCGGTACTGAGAAGACATTGTTTTTACAATTATTTTTATTAATGATTTCAATTAAGTTGTAAATGAGTAATTTTACCGAAAGTGGTATATATTTATGTACCGACTAACAGAACAGACAAAACTAATATACTGAACCAAAGATAAAACTAATATAACCAGAGCAATACCCCTCTCGTTTGGGACTAGTAATAAAATTTCAAGTAAGTGATCACAAAAAAGCTCGCTCAATCTATTGCGAACGCTCTAAGGTTCTATACTGACTAGCACTGACGATTTATTTTGGGTTTTAGTATTCTTTTGCATTCACATTTCACGGTGATATAGTAGGGATATGCCTCGGAGTAAAGATACACAGCGACGCTAGACCTGGTTTGAAATTTTGGTGAGACGATTAATTATTGAAAAGGCTCCGGATGTCAG